TTGCTTCACCAGATTCGCAGCGAATCTGATGAAGCAACATGTGAAACTATGCTCTAGTGTGCGCTGGAAGTTTTTTTAATTTTTGACTGTGATTTATCCTGCACCAGCTGGCACCTAGAAGAAGCACTTAGCTGCTGTGCACGGGACTTACAAACTTATATATATTTAAGGATTTTCTCATGCGGGGCATGTCCTCAGACCTGCTTCACAGGCAGAAATCTCAACCCCCCCAATGTTCAACTCAAAGTTACGCCCTTGAGAACACCCACATACACACATACACACACACACACACACAAACATAGCAACAGATTAAAAGAAATCTAATTATAAAACGGGTTGATCCAAGCCTTGATTGTGATTGGCTGGAAGCCGTTGTAAAACCACTATGATATACTCCTGTGACCGCATCATTACGTATTACTCTGCCTATTTATTTGTTAAACCATTTGCAGCTGTTACCTGTTTTGTTACCTATCAATGTCGGACTTTGTTGTGAATTTTGATTTACTGGGTGGATTAAGCATGGATGAGTGGCTGGAGGAGATGGATGGGATCAAGAAGGAAGAGAAAAAAGAAAGAAGACACGCTGAAATTAATGAAGGAGAGATTGAAGAGCTGGAAAAGGCAAGAAGTAGAGCTGGGACCATTAAACAGACTCTGTGGTCAGTTCGCTGTTTTCAGACCTGGTGTGCCGAGAAGATTGATTTTAAAACGGTCACCAAGATTGAGCTAAACCAGGTTCTCCGCCAGTTTTATGCCACTGTGAAAAACGGGAAAGGTGAAGCTTACGGTTTCAGAAGCATCGTGCCTAACAATGCCCCTTAGCTGTGGTAAAATCGCTGGCAAACCACAGCCTCTTGGGGCTAATTGCTTAATTTTACCACATCTTTTGGTAAAAATGTGTTTAAATGTAAAAAAAAAAAAAAAAAAAGAAATGTTAAAAATGTGTCAATTCAAATTTGCTCAATTGCGAGATAATGTATACTGGCAGCGCATGCCTAGTAGGAATGGGGGAAAAAATCAATACAGCATCACATTGTGATATTTTATTGCAGTATTGTATTGTCACACGGTGCCAAGTGTTTTTAAATATATAAATTATTAATATGACAAACATAAATTAAACTTTTGGTAGCCTACTAGAATAATATAAAACAGATGCTGACAAAGTTTTCCATTGGGGACGTAATATTCAGTTGAAAAAAGGTAATAAATTGCAATATATCGCAACATATTTAAAATTGCAATAATGTGTCGTGACTTAAGTGTCGTGATAATATCGTATTGTGGATCCTCTGGTGATTCCCACCCCTAATGCCTAGCAGTGTATATTTGGTATTTGAAGATGGAAGTAGCACACAAAGTTATGCTTAAAACCACTAAGAATTTAATAATACGGATTACCAGAGGTGTGC